TCTTAACATGTGGATAGAATTTTTGTATCTGTTGATTAAGTGCAGAGTTTGCACCCATTTCAGTTCAGTTAATTTGAAAATAATTGGTATTAGAGACTTCAAATGTAACAGCATCAGGAGTAGAGACTTTCAAGTCACACTAACATGGATCAAATAATATCTTCACCTGCTCAATGGTAGTATTACTTTTAACAATTTAAGATAGTTGAGTTTCAATTTCCTCATCAAAAAAAGAAATAGCAGTATCTTAAGGCAGGATCCCAAGAATCATACTCTGAGATGAAGACTGTCTGCAAGTGTTTTATTAAGGAAATGCTTTTAGCAAACCCCATAAAATACCACAGTAAGCAAGACAGGAAAGAAGGTGATATCAGGCAAAATCTTCACATCAGCATAATCCTTCAGGGGAGCCTTGGGATATGTATTTTACCTCAGATTTTCCTGCTACTAGAGGATAGAGGGCTGGGCTTTCATACTGTACGGAGCAGTCTTTGGCATAGAACATCCTGAGAGAGAAGTAAATTTTGGGTTGGTTCTTTCTGGCTCTCTACGCCTGTAGATAAAGTGGGTCCAAACAGAGCCTCTGGGGCAGGTTGTGAGAAGCAAATGAATAGAGAAGCAAAGGGAAGGGCCCTCAAATTCAACGGGATCCAAGGAAATCTGGGTGGTGTTTGACCATGACCTCAAGCATCTACCTCATAAAACATTTCTAAGAATTGAATGCACTAATACCCTTTTGTTTGGGTTTTAGGACTCCTAAACAATTTTTCTTTTGAAATAGCATGCAGTATTTAGTGTCTTATTCTGCACACCCAGGGCTTAGTGATGCAATAATCTCTCTTGATGTAGCATCAAATCCAAAAAGGTAAAGACAATGGGGAAAAATGAAGCAAATATGAAGGCTACCATGATAGAAAGAAATGACGAGTTCAAACCTAGCATTTCCAAAGGGTCATAATTTCAATTATATTGTTCCTAGAGCTAGAAGCCTGAACAAAATTGAGACTCACAGCTATCTGCCTCCATGTTTCAAAAGTTAATCAAAGCCAACCAACCAACCAAAAATACATATCTTTTTTAATGACATAAACCAGACAAGAAATTCTGTTTTATTTCTCTCACAGGGGAAAAAGTCATAAATCTCTAGAATATATGTAATATTTTTTCTTAAAGAGAATATATTCTTCTTCCTTACTATCCTCAATTTCTATACTGACAACCAATACCTTTAAGTTTTATAGCATTTTATGGTAAACACATTCACATTTTGTTTGATGTTCAAACAACCTTGTCATATAAATTATCACTCCCTTTTTACAAATAAAGAAAGAAGCTCTGAGCAGTTAAATGACTTAGTCAAGACAGCACAGGTAAAGACAGGGTCTCAATTCTGACTCCCAAGACAGTGTACTTCCTAAGGTTCCCCTTTATCCCTTTGGTCAGTCAAGGTCCAGTCAGGAGAGAAAAGCCACACCATAATTTAAAGATAAAAAATTATTAACCAGCTAGTAAAAAGGGATTGACTGTTAAAAAAGGAAAAGAGACCACTAAAGAATGCAGAAATAGCAAATGAAGGGAGGGGCTACCTCTTGGGCTGTGGAAGATTTTGGAACTCTCCATCCCCCCTCCACCCTACCAAGGCAGAAAATCAGACCTCACTGGAGATAATACAGCTGCGGCCCACTTGCTGGTTAAAACATTTCTTGAGGTGTCACACACTGTGCTTGTGAGGAAACCACCAGCTGAACTGCCAGTAAAACTTGCTAGAAAGCTGCCCACTGACACGCCACTGAGACTCATTAGGAAGCCACACGCTGGGGAACTGGCCAAGTCTACTGGACAGTGTGCTGTGTTGGTCTTTTGCACACCACCCGCCATAAAGCCACTCACGCCCACCACACCATAGGAGCAAGCAGAAAAGCACTGACACCAACAAGAGGAAGCCCTTCCTTTTGCAGTGTTCTTCCAGCACAGCGGTTCTCTACCTGTGGGTTGTGACCCACAGGAGCTGTATTAAAGGGCCGCGGCATAAGGAAGGTTGAGAACCACAGCTCTAGCACCTTCTATTAACAAAAACCTACTATTCTACCAATGGACCATAATGGAATGTTTACAGATTCCAGCTCTGACACCACAATTTATGGCAAAGAAGAGCAGATTTAGAGGATGATTAAATTAATTGGCACATACCTCCATGATTTTCCTAGGTTCTGGAAAGTAAGCACCCTCTTATGCCAAACTCCTGCTCCATTTGTTTTATTTTCTTAATTGCACCTGAAAGAGCCAGCCGACCTCTTGGGACATGCTGTAGTGAGAGCTGGTATGACACATGACAGCTGCAGAAGGAGAGAGTTCAATGCAGTGACTGAGACAAGGTCTGAAGCCAAAACACATGGGTCTGAATGCTGGTCTCACTATTGACTAGATTTATCGCCTTGCAAAAATTCTGGATAATAACAGTGCCTACTTAATATTAAGATATCAGGAGAAATAAATCCATCTAAGGTTTATAGACCAACACCTAGCATATAGTTAGAAGCTGAGAAATAGATGTATTTTCCATGCATGGTAGTTTGCAATTGGTGTTTAAAAATATTTATTCAGTTTTCACTATAAATTTCCATTTAGGATCTTACATCCTTATGCTAAAATCCAACTTCTTTGGGTGAGACTGGGCTTTGCTACAAAGTCTTGCCTACTCCCAGGCATTGTCTGAGGCTCTGGCTTCGTATCCAGCACTGCTCCCGGCTCACTGAATAATCCCCACTGGTCCCAGTCGCAGCCAACTCACAGGGGCTCGGTTTTCTCAAGGGAAAGAAGACACAAGGTGAGACAAGTCACCTTTAAGATCTCTTCCAGCTCTGAGTAAATTGGATCCCCCTCTCTCCCAAACAGTGAGTTATACTTAAGAGGGAAAAGGAAGGAAATTACCATTTTGAACGCCTACCTACCTGTGCCAGGCAAGCATTTTGCAGGCTTTATCTCCGCAGCCACATTCCTCTCCAATTAGTATTTTTAACTATCTTGTTCACGTTAGAAGACGAGGCTCTGAGAGGTCAAGCTGCTTACACAAGATCGCCCTCTTGGTAAGTCGCAGTCTGTTGAATTCAAACCTGGCCCTTCTGTTTGGGTGGACTGAAGACTTTCAGCTGCTCTGCCTTCCTCCCACACCGCCTGCATCTCAGACGTTACGACTCCTAACTGCTCAACGCTTTTCATGTTCTGCTTTAAAGAGATGAGTGGGTGTGCAACTTTTTTTTTGTCTGAAAGGTATGATTTTTTTTGTCTGAACTTTAAGCAAATGAAATTCATTTACCAATTACGGGAATTAAAAAAAAATCACTCCTAATGTCTCGCAGGAAATTGGCTCTCGAGTGAAAATCAGCAGCCCTCTAGGAGCCTGAGACTCTGTCCTTTAACTTTCCTCCAGGCCGCAGACTGGGTGCGGGGAAGGAACCGTCCCAGGGGGATACCTAGCTGAGCTCTAGCCCCGATTGCGTCGCTCTTTTCACCCTCAGAGGCTTTCTTTTCTCTGCATCCCGGGTTTGTCGGGCCAGGTCACAGTTAAGTGTCTGGCCCAGGTGCAAACCCGGCCGGGCGGTTTCCCCGCGACGGCGCGCCTCCTCCGCCCCCGCCCCCCGCCCCTGCCCGGGTAAAGTGACCGGTTCTCTGTGGAGGCCAGCCACCCACTCCCACACAGCCCCTTTCTTTCCGCTTCCATAGAGGAAAAGCGGAGCCCCTGACCCCATGCCCTATAATGGTCTCGCCCCGACGACCCCGGGCTCGGCGAAGTCCCAGTCCCGCCGAGCGCGGGAGGTGCCGGCAGCGCGACCTGGTGCGGCTTCCCCTGCTCCCCGCAGTTTGGGGAACCAGCCTCCACTTCTGCAACTTTCCCCTTCTCGGACGGGGAATTCTGAGAACTTTGAGAACAACGAGAAACTGCAAAGTGAAGACGTGAAGCCTCTCTATCCGCGAACTCGTCCCCTGCGCACGGCTCCCGGGTCCCGGGCCTTCCCCCGCAATTCCAGGCCGGCCCGCCGACCCCAGCTCCTCTCACGGAGGGATCCGGCGCCCAGAGGCTCCCAGCGCCCGAAGCGTGGCACCCGGCTCCGGGCGCGCCAGCTGTCCCGGTCCCGCTCCGTCGGCTCCATCCGCGCCCCGCTCGCGGAAGCCGGGCGTCCCTTCGCACAGCAGCGGAGCGCGCAGTTCGGCCCGCGGAGGGCAGGTCCGCACTGGGCTCCAGGCCCTTCCTGCCGGCCTCCCCACGCCGGGCCTCGGCTCCCCTCCTTCCCGGCTCCCGCCTCCTCCCGTAGGCTGCCCGGCGGACCCAGCCTGCCTCTCTCTCTGCCTTCACTACCGGGTCAAGCTGTGGAGGGAGGGAGGGAGACAGCGGCGAACCCCTCCCCGGCTCCCCAGCCGGCGCGCGCCCCTCCTCCCTTTATAGCCTGCTCTCTCCTCCCCTGCCTCCTCCCCTCTGCCAGTACAGTACAACTAGTACGTACACACACACTCACACACTCACACGCGGACCCCGCCGCTGCCACTGCAGCTGCCATGGATATCAGCTAACAACACACACCCCGGCGCGCGCGCGCGCTCCCACTCGCACCACGCAGGAGTGGCCCCCGGCATCCTACCCTCCTCCCCACCCCCACTCCACCCGCTCACCAGCTCGGCTACTGCTCGCTCTGGCTGTCGCCGCCGCCGCCGCCGCCACCACAGCTTCCTCTGCTGCGGGGCCACAGCCTTGAGTGTCATTCAAGGGACAGCACAACCTCACCCAAGCTCTCCTACCTCTGCCCAGCCGTCCCTCTCATCCTCCCCCCTCCTCGTCCACACTCCATCCAAAGAAGAGAGAAAGCCCCGAATAGAGGGGAGGAGGAAGGCAAAGTCTGTTCTTTTCATCCCTTGGCCCCCTTGCTCCTCCATCCTCATTCTCCCACCACCCACCCCGGCTACCCCAAGGAACCCCAGGAATTGAGGCGACCCACCCCACTGCCATGTCCAAAAGCTTGAAAAAGAAAAGCCACTGGACTAGCAAAGTCCATGAGAGTGTCATTGGCAGGAACCCGGAGGGCCAGCTGGGCTTTGAACTGAAGGGGGGTGCCGAGAATGGACAGTTCCCCTACCTGGGGGAGGTGAAGCCTGGCAAGGTGGTCTATGAGAGCGGCAGCAAGTTGGTGTCGGAGGAGCTGCTGCTGGAGGTGAACGAGACCCCCGTGGCGGGGCTCACCATCAGGGATGTGCTGGCCGTGATCAAACACTGCAAGGACCCCCTCCGGCTCAAATGTGTCAAGCAAGGTGAGCGCGGCGGCTTGTCAGGGTTCTGCCAGGATGGGACGGCTCGGGGCGCAGGGCAATGGAAAGGGGGGCGTGCGTGTGGAAGGGGTGTGTTGCGCGACGGTGGGGTGGGGTCCAGAGAGAACCGGCAGCGCAAGTGAGCTTTGCCACAGATCCGACTGGGGGGCTAAGGGACGGGGAGCGGGGGGTCACCGTGCGGGGAGCAACTTTGTTTGCGCAGTTAGACCCTCCTCTGGGAAGGTGTTTGGCCCGGCCTGACCTCCTCAGAGCTCCCGGGGCAAATTGAATGTGCGTCAGTGGCATCCCCGGCGGCGGATGAAGCTTCTGGGGAAGGACAGAGGGAAAGAAAGAGGGAAGGAGGAAGGGAGAGGAAAGAGGAAGGAGCAACTTGAGGGTGCAGTGGCATCACCGGCGGGGCCGGGAACGGCAGAGGGTGCTGGGGTGGGCGGAGAACTGTGTCCGGCGTTTCGGGAGCTGACTAGGGACGTCTAGGTCCCCAGCCTTCCCTTTCAGATCCCGAATCAGGCTGGAGAGGAAGGGAAGGGGCAAATCGCTTTGGGCGCTTTGACCGGTCTTCTGTAACTTTTTCCCTGCTTTGCTCCTCTGTCCCCCTCCCCCGCCCACGGTCGGTCGTGTCATGTGGGCATCTAGCGTCACGTGCGCACTGACTAACCCCTGCGCTCACCCCTAGCCAGCCCGCGGGAGGAAGCTCCGGAACGCCGAGCGGCGCAGGACCGCTTCTCAGGGTTTGGGGGTCCGGAGGAAAAGGGTTCCAGAGCGCGCTTTACTCAGGGGTGGCCCTCCCTGATTGGAAGCCTTCTGTGGCAGGGCTCCCCTCTGGCTCCGGATTTGAGGGTGTGTTTCTGAGAAGGAGTTGGATGGAAATGCCAGCTGGTTGTAACTCCGGCTCCCTCAGCTCCAACCTTTGATGAGCCTCAACTGAAGCTTGTGTGATGTGGATTTAGGGAGATTGGAGTCCTGAGAACTCTCACTGTCTTTGCTAGAAAGAAAGGTCCCAAAGGTGGAGAGAAAGAAGTCTGGATAGAGGACAACTTTAAGTAGAATGTGGTAGTGCATGTTTCGCATGCCCGCTGCATACCTGTCTCTAGCTCCCATGCACATTTCGTGTGCGGTACGTATGTATGTGTGCTGCACGTGCATATCAGCCTGCGGGGTTGTTGTCCTGTTACACTGTCCTGCCTCAGAGACAGAACTGAGCATGTCCTTGCCTGCATTGTGCCCCTTAATCCTATTGCATGATCAACTACCAGGATATATGCTCTTAAGGAGATGCTATACACTGTAAAATTCTTTAAAATCTAGCTTAAAAGTAAACAAGACAAGTAGAAGTCTCCGGCAAAGTTTCTTACGTGGAAATTGTCATATAGGAAAACATTTTTTTGTTGAGGATCCTTGAGTAGCAATAGCTGGTCTTGAGATAGGCTAAAGTGAACATTTACTTGTAAGTTAGGGAAGCTCAATACTGAATAACTGAGAAATACCGTGACACTGAAGAATGTGAGGGCAGATAGAGTATCTTGATGTTTTCCAAGATAACACACCCAAGGCTCAAATACTGTAAGAATTCATGTCAACGTATTTGATGATACTCCCTTGGAGCCATAGATGTGCTGTTCTCACTTAGGACCCAAGAAATCTACTGCACAAGTAATGACCTTGGTTTTGTTAGCAATAAACTTAGTATTTGCAATAGAAAATGGCTGCAGTGTCCACGCATTGTTAAACTAGTAATAGTGTCTTAGAAAGGGAGGTGACTGTCCTACTGTAATTTGCCATGATTGCCACTTCTTATGTTATATTCAATTCTGGGAACTACTTGTTGAGGTGGACCTTGCCCAACTGTCACACTAGCAAGGAATAATAAATCCAGGAGAAAAAGGAAAGGAGATTATTGTATATTGTAGACATATTCTCTGAAACTCAGTGGAAAGATTCAATTTGGAAAAGTGAGGCAATGAAAGTTACTAAATGCCCAAAAGCTATCAAGTCAAAAAAGGATTCTGACTATCCACAGGACAAAACTAAAATGAATCTATTGAAAAATTTTAAAAATTAGCGTTTTTACCTTTATTAAAAAGACAAACTTTCTAAAATAGCTTCCCTCAAACCTGTAAACTATGTTGCAAATTGAGGCTGCTGTGGCACTGTTTGTGAAGGGACAAAATGACCATATGCCGTGGATACCTATGTAAGATGAAGTCCCGGACTACATATCAGTTAAATCCCGCCACGATTTGACCTAAGGTGGTCTCTGATCAGTCAACTTCTCTATTAAGTTTTATTTAGAAGATTATTACTTTTAGAATTCATACAATAATTACATATAAAGTGATACATGTATTTCCATCCTATATTAATACTCAGTTTAGAGTTCACTGGTTCATTGATGATATATTGTTATAGTGATGCTCCCCGGGCTTCCACGGGAGCCTGATTCACTTCCCAAATCCCTATTGACTGTAAAAAAATATTTCTTATTTTTCTTTTCTAGAACAAGTATTCCTATATTCTTTTTACTTGATGTTATTTTTTAACTTACAAATAATAATTATACAAACTCATGGAGTACATAGTGTTGTTTTGATATGTGTAGAATGTACATCAGTAGTGCTCAGATCAGGATAATTAGAATATCCACCATGTCAAGCATATTACCATTTCTTGTGTTGGGAGTATTTTGTATCCTCTTTCTAGATTTTAAGATATATAATATGCTGTTGTTAACTGCAGTCGTCCTACAGTAGTGTAGAACCTCAGCCCTTCTTCCTCTGACCTAGCTATTATGTTACGTCCTTTAACAAATCTCTCTCTGTCCCTCCCTTCACCTACCCTTCCCTGCCTCTACTATCCTCTCCTTCTTTTACATATAGTGATCCAGATATACTATTCTTTTGTTGAAATCCTTTTCCTTGACAATAGATATGTTTATTTATCATTATAAACAAAGTGAACATTTCAGAACTGTTAATGTAGTGCCTGTGGTTCTTGGGTTTCAGAACTAATTTTACTTGCTAGAAAGGCATTTAGAAACTTTTGGCTCAGTAAATATATTTCTGGAGAGCCAAACCTAAAAGTGTTAAACATGGTTTATTTAGTAGTTGTATTTTTAAAATATTAATGGAATCGATTTTGAATATTCATTCAGATATTGAGTATTTTGTGGAAGCTACATGCTTACCTACAGCTAGTGTGAGATTATACAAAGAAAAGGAGAGATGTGAATAGTGAGAATATCGTTAAAAGTGCACTAGATGCATTATTTACTCAATTTTTATTTGTTTGGCTAATTTTATATTGCAGTCATAATTTTAAATTATAATGATTTTAAAAGAGGGTGAGCTACTAGGATTGTAACACATGCTTGACAAGATATATATATCATAGTTTTCTACACTATGTTTTTAAAACCATTTTTAAAAGCTGTTTCATAAAATTCAGGGGATCCTTTTTTAATGTAAGCTGTCTTCTTTTAATTCAAACAATAACATAACATATGAAAAATAGCATTTATCCATTGATTGTCACTTTTTGGGGGGTAAATTATGGCTTTTTCTTTATAATAATCAACTCACCAAAGTATGTCATTCTAAGCTGGCAATTCTATGATCACATTAATGCAACAGACCCAGTTTAAAAAAAGTTACTTTTGTGATTTTGAAATCTGTGCTGAAGTGCTGACAGTTTTCTTTCTTTTCTTTTCCTATTTCTTTCCTTTCTTTATGTTCAACACTAAAGTTCACAGCAGCTAGTTACATAGACCTTTGTGTCCTACATTCCTTGCAGTATGGCTGCTAATTCATGTAATACCACATAGGGACCTACATAGCCTGGATTTATTTTCCCATTTAGTATCCCACAATGGAAAATAAAAGGCAAAAAGTTTTCTAATTCTTCCCATATGGAAGATGGGCCAAATAAGGCCTTTGAAATTCACTTCTAGAGAAGGTCTACATGGCTCTGCCTCCTAGGGCTTCTTTCAAAGACACTTTCAAAGGAAAGTAGTTCCACATTTAAGTCATACTTTCTTCTTGACTGACTCCAGGCTAGTATAATAGAGTTAAAATGCTCACTGCTTTTTTACTTGGAATGGTAAAAAAATATATATATATGACTAATTTTCTGCCCATAAAGATTGGCTTTCCTCCGTAGAAATGTGGTTAATGAATTTTAGTTTTTGATAAACAAATTTAATAATTAATAATAATACTAATTTTAGAAATAAAAATACCTTTAATGTTTTGGAACAAGGTTAATGAGGCAGTTCTCTCTGGGCATGATTTCTGAGTGATGCCTCTGTTGTTTTTTGGCAATCTAGGCAATTTAAATGGTATGGCCTTGAATGTTAAGCATCAGTGTTTGCCATTTTATCTGTACTACATCAGCTCTTTACATTTATACTGTGCAATCTCTTGGCAAATGCATTATGCTCACTCTCCTTTGTAGTTGCTTGCAAGTTACACCTTCATTTTCACAATAAGAAAAAAATTTCACATTTGACATCTATGATTAATTGTACTTTGAACCATGACTTTCAAATATATAGCACATCTCAGCAGAATCATTTCCCTCAGGAAGTGGATAGAGCAGTGGTTAAATGCGCAGCCTCTTAAATAGACCACCTGCTTTTGAGTCCTGATTGCCACTTCTAGCTATGTAAACAAATTATCTAACCTGGGAGTGGTAGTGCTTCAAGAATATTAGACAAAGTATGTATTTAAGTCATGTAGTGTCTGGCAGATAGTAAGAATTATGTAAATTTTAGTAAATGTTCTTTCAAACATTGATCATTTTAAGCCAGTGACATTATGAAATGTTGACTTTCAAGGCATTTTACTCCTAAATTTAATTAATCAGAAAACATGTAGTGATTGACTAAGTATGAGTAATTTGCATGTTGTATTCTTAAGGTTTTTCATTAGAATAAAATAAATCTTTTTCTTTGAAAAGCCTTTGATTGAAGAATAATGTCATTAAATGCA